GAGAGAGAGAGAGAGAGAGAGAGAGAGAGAGAGAGAGAGAGAGAGAGGGCTCCCTAACACCCATAGCTGGCTGAATCATTCCTCTATGTGAAGACTTCAGATAGCGTCTCCCTGCCGTTAGATGGACCCCACAAGGCTGTTCTCCTAGACTGACTGTAGGTCTACTCCCTAGCCTCAGACTGTAGGTCTACTCCTAGCCTCAGACTGTAGGTCTACTCCTAGCCTCAGACTATAGGTCTACTCCCTAGTCTCCTACAGTCTTGACTGTATGGCTGTCTCTGAAGTGTATGACACCACCGTGGTTCTGTGCCCTGCTGCCTCCTTCAGTGCCTTTCCTCACCCCCATCCTTCATAATTGGCTTAAAAATGTCCCCTCCCTCAGAGATAGGGACTTCTTATGTCCTCTGTGCCTCTTTCACGCCACTAATGTTTGCAAACTCTACTGTACCAAAGCTGAGGGGCTCAGTGGCAAAAACATTCGCAGCACAAAGCTAGCTTCAAATGGCAGCTCAATCATTTTATCAGGCAATGATAAAAACCTTTATTAAAGGCCCATAGATTCGCAAGTTTAAATGGAGTCACTGCGCACTACACGCAGGCTTTATTTAGTGGGCACACACATACAAAACACGGCCATTGATCAACTGATGCTTTAATGGCATAGAACAAAATCGCATTAAAATATTAATGCTCTGACCATTGCTCTGCCATTTAAGTGTAACTCTTATGGAAAAAATGCATAAATCATTTCCAGCTTTAGAGCAATATCACAGAGGTTTCAGGGACTTGATTATGGTGCCTCTGTTCAAATCGCAAAGCGGAGAAAACCGTTTTCCCTGAAACCATCTTTCCCATCAATAACGGGGTGCAGAATAAAACAAAATTTTGTTTTCATTTTTGTAGTATATTGTCACTGTTACACATTTTCCAAATACTAGCTCTGAAATTAAAAAAAAACAAAAATCACTTCCTTTTAAAGTCAAACCCGGATGTCACTTCTGTTCCTTTTCATTGTCACACAAATTCTATTAATTTTGGCTTCTAAAAATTGTATTCTTCATATCCTCTATTCTGAGCCACCACCTGGCCTCCTCTTGACTTCAGACTGTCATTTTCAACTCTTGCCTGGAGGGACAGCCTGACCCTCCTTCTCTTAATTTTGTCTATACATGTATCTCCCTTCCTCTAGACTTCAAGGAGGCCCATTGCCTGGCCCTGTCCCTCTGCAATATTTACTAATGGCCTTGCAGGTAGCAGACATTTAGGATCCTTGGGGGAACAGCATTCTGTAAACCAAGCCCCAGACTCTGGTCCGGCCCCCATGTAGTCTCCATTCCTGGCTGAATGGATTCTTTAGAAGATCAGTGTCGAGCATCGCTTATTCACTGAACTCTTCACTCTGTCCCTGGCTTCTGTCTCCTGCCTGGAACACGTCCCCTCCTCACCTAACTTTATCTCTATAGATCCTTTCAGATCTAAAGGCCACTTCTCTACATGTCCCCTTAACTGCCCCCCAACCCTGGCACATGTGTATGCCCTGGGTAGTCTGTTCTGACTATCTGTGAAGCCCTGGCACATCTATGCTACCATATGCTTTATATCCTGTTGCTACCTTCTGTTCTCTGTTTCCTCCTTCTATACCAGAAGGCCATTCTGATACATGGATTCCTCAGTGTCTGGAATGGCCACCCAGCTCCTACCACCTAGAAAGCCCTCTGTGAATTTGTTACATGCTCTAGCAAACAGAGATTACTGAATGAAAAACCAGACGGCCCTAATTCCCAAACACTTGAAACAAACATTGACATTAGAGATACTAATATGTTCAATTCATGCAAATCACTATCTTCCCAAGTGATGAGGCCTGAGAGGATGCTGAACCAATCTGTTAGTTACAAGAACTTAGAAAATCCCAACTCCTTCTCATAGATTTTCTTGTTTGTTGACATTCTTCCAGTGCTGGGAACTGAACCTGAGAACTGTATATGCTCGGAGCTTTACCACTGAGAGATACCCTAGCCCTTGTTTGGTTAAAACATCATCACCATCAACAGTCACTTTTGCCTTTAAATTGTCAACTTGACTGTATTAAGGAATGACTAGGAAATATTGAAAGCACACCTCAGATACATATCTATGAGGGAGTTCCAGGGACAAGCAGACCAGGAGAGCGCTGACATAAACAAGTATAATCAATTAATGTCTTCAAAATCTGAATAAACTGTTGGAACCTGGTTGAGGACATAGGTCACTGGGAAACAACACACCTCTGGTCCCTTCATTACAGCTCCACTCTGTCTACAATGATGTGAATGAACTATCTCCATTGTCTTCATGGCTATGATATAAACAGCCTTTGTTATGTGATCCTGCAGCAGCAATGTACTGTCTTGCTACAGGCTCCTAGGAGCTAACTTGCCATGGACTGAACCCTCCAAAACATGGAGTTCAATAAATCATTCCTCTTTCTAAGTTGTTGATGTCAAGTCACAGTGGTTCAAAAGTCACAAGCATACTAACAGTGCTGAACATATACTTTCTAGTCCACCTTGAAGTCACATGACCCCAGAGAAAGAACTTTAAATTCCCCATAGCATCAGCAGATATCCCAGTGCGTACTGACTGGTCCTGACAACTGGAAATTCAGCAAAAGATTTGTGTAAGAGGCAGTGTACTTGGTTGAAAATAAGTTTGAAGCAAGTCTTGTCAAGGCCAAATCCCTGTCTCTATAAAATATGGTCTCTAAGTTTAGGTTTTATTAGAGGAGTGCTGCATCAATGACATAAAAGTTTATGTCATTCCCTCCAGTTTCCTTGCAGGAAATATCTACTTTAGCAAATTGGAAGGCAGGAGGAAACAGACTTCTGGAAAACATGACAATAAGCAGAGCTCAGCACGGTAGTAATTGCACAGAGTCCACGTTGACTTTGTGTGGCCCAGTAGCCCTGGACCGGCCTACATGTAGTTACCTGTGAGATCTCAAGCTTCAGTAAAGTCCTTCCCCTTAGAAGTAGCCTCAGTAAAGGTCCTTCACCCAAGAAGCTGGGTTGGCCATCTACACAAAGCCACACTTGCAAATCCTATTTGACCCTTGTATCTATGCTAAAACTATCACCCAGAAATGCTGGTGGGCTTACAAAAGCCCAGTGGCAAAGGGCTGAAGGAGTAAACCATGTCTGCTTTCTAATACAGAATTTAAAATGTCTTCAAAATGTGCTTCGTGACTTTCTGGGTAAGCCCTGGGGAATGGTACTAACAAGCTGGGTTGCCAGTCTGCCCATAAAGAATGGCCATGTGCTGGGATGTGACAAACAGCTGGACTGCTGCTGCCAATGAGGAGATTTAATGACCCCCCATGCATGTGTATATGATAGACAGCCTCAGTTACAAAAGGACATCTTTCAAATACATGTCGCAGGACTATCATCATGAAGACACCCAATGACCAAGACCAGAAAATATGCATAGATTCATCTACAATTTGGTGTGTGGCTGTTTTGAGTGTCTTCTTGGTATTAGGATAGCCAGGCAGCAGTTGTAGCTGGTCTTAGGAGGGGGCCACCCTGGGAAAGGTGCTGCCGAGCAGGGAGGGCAGGCAGTGGGAGGCATGGGCTTCTTACCTCCTCTCCTGCCTCAATTTCTCGCACTGCACGAAGTAAGAGGTGGGGACCGTTGAACACAATCGAGCAGTTGGGGTCACAGCTGTGATTCAGCAAAGACATACTGAAGGAAAGAAACAGAGAGGGGGCCATCAGTGCTCAGAGTTAAACAGACATCAGACACAATGGTCAAAAGACACCTTAGGTGGGGGAGAGGGCAGGCGGCAGGGCTCTGAGATGGGTTTGATGAAGAAGAAATGAAGTTTGGGTTCTTGGAGCATTTATAGGCATGTCCCTATCCTGCTTCTTGTAAAACAGACTAATTAGGGAAGTTTGATAGTAAGTTCTTTTAGTTCTTTTGGGGGATGGATCATATTAGATATCACCCGATACGGTTACCCAAATAAAGATCATCTGAGATAAAGGGTACGGCCGTAGTCACAGCAGTCACCTGAGGTGCCACTGACTGGCAGAGGGTCTCACTGCTGAACTCTGGTAGGGAAAGGCTGTGGGACTGCTAGACGCTCACACTGAAGAAAAATCAGAAGTACGTGCTCTTGGTGTGTCCTGATGCACTCTGGGAAGGAGCCTAGTCACGTTCTTTTCTTTGAGGTTTTGAGGGGGAAATGTAATGACTTTGTACTGTCACCATGATCTGACAACAGTTAGAATGAGCATATACTGTGTGGGAAATACCTGCTCAGGACTGGAGCCAGTCGACCAGATTCAGCCACCACAAGCTTGTGGGGATTATTTCCAGGTGAAGAGATCAATCCCGAAGGATGGAACTAGCTTATCCAAGGACGCACAACTTAACTGATGACTGAACCAGAGTCAGGTGGCCTGAGCTCAGAGCCCATGCTCTGAAGCCCTCTGAGTTGCAATTTCTGAAACCTGTGCTATGAAGAGACATGACCTGCAAGCAGCGACATGTATGGGGACTACAAAAGGGGCTGTCTCGGGTGCAGTTACTGAGAAGAAACACTATGTTTGAACCCCAGGAGCATAAAGACAGGATGAAAGTCAGCTAGGGGACAGAGGTTGCCATAGAGATGGCTAAGGAGGAATACAGTAAGCTACTCCTGAAAGCTCTTGAGCATCTTCTAGAGGTGACTAGAAAGCATGCTACTACCAAAAGCATGCTACTACCAAAGTCAAATTTGGCCTATTGGTACCATACCCCCAGTCTGGAGGGATAACTGTGTGCTTCTGCTCACGAGATGGAGGCCAAAGCTCAGGGGAGACTTTACAAAGATAACTGAATTCCAGCATCCATAAGCCTGAACCTACCTCAAAGTCAGCCTGAGAACAAGTGGTTAAGTATGAAGCCCGCCTTGTCTTAATACCATAGTGTATAATGTGTTTTACAAGACAGCATTTTCATAGCCTTCTGTAATTTAGTACTATGTTTCGAGTTTGGCTATTGAGCTAGAGGCTACAAAAGCCTTTCTAGTAACCCCTGAGAGGCTGGAGAGCTGGGTGGGTGTTAGTTGGTCTGGGATATCTGCCATACCTGGGGTACAGGCCAACGCCGACCTCCTGCATCTCTGCATTGCAGATGGTAAACGAGTTGCAGATCACCTGTGGAAATAAAAAGGGGCCTTTAGGTGTCCACTTGAGAAATCTCACAGGCAGGAGCATAAAGGCCCAAGCTTTTTAGGGGCTACTTGGAAGGCCCAAGCATGGATGATGTGTGACTTTAAAATAACTTCTCCAAGGTACACTCCCGAACCCTGGGAAAACGTAGGGCTTCAAGGAGCACAGAAAGTGCTGACTCCTCATAACCTGTTTGTGTAACCTCTCCACAACCTACATCCTACAACTCCATGAAATGTTCAAAATCCAAAATACAAATAAGCCACTCATTAAAATCGAGGATCCTGTGACACCGATGTTTTTCTGCCTGCCTGCCTGGTCCAAAGGCCCCTTTATCTAAGGAATACAGCAGGGTGTTTGTTTTCATTCTTGTAGATTGAAGTGCACCCTGAGGGAGTTTGTGATCCACACTGCCCGTAGCCCACAGGGAGGACAGGAGGCTGCTTGGAGGAGTCACAACTCCTACTGACACACAGAGCCCCTCACCGACCTGTGGCATGGTCCTGTGCCTTTGGGCAGATAAGGAATGAAAGAAAGAAAGACCATAATCACTACATACAAGGAATTTTGGAACCGTGTTTGGGCAGGTGGTCATATACTGAGTCTGAGCCCACAAAGAATACACAGAGCACTGGGCTTGAATCATAGCCTAAACCCTAGCACGAGACAATGCCCAGACACATCAGGAAGAGAGGGAGAAAGAACACCAAGGTCCCTGATCTCATGGAACCTAAGCTCTGCACGATGACAGACATCTTTTAAAAGAAGAAATCCTGAGATAGAGAGCTTGTCCCTTGTGAGGAAGCGTGAAGGAGAGAAGATAAAGTGAAGAGCGGGAGGAATTCCTGGGAAGAAGCTGCATCTGCAAATGCAGGGTGATTGGCTGACCACTTGGAACCTGGGGGAGTTGGAATGCTGCAGGTCCTAGGTATCAATTCTTTTGGACTATGTCTGAGGCACTCCTGGCCTACCATGGTGTCAGATGTAACACCCCGATAAACTGATGAAACCCCTAGAATGGATTAATGTAGCAAAACCCTATTCTCCACCAGTCCAAGGGCTAAGAATTATATCAGACAGCATGTGAGGCCTCTAGCTGAGGCCACTCCACCCTGCTGTAATCTTTCTGCCATGTTTCCACCAGAGCATGTTTAAACTTCTCTGATTTATTACTCTGTTCTGTTAGAACCGCATGAAACAGCTTTAACACTGGGGCATGGAACGTGGGGTAACTTAAATCTGGTTTCCATGCCATGGCTGCTCATATTTGGCTCCAGAACAAACCATCTCATATTCCCTCTGAGGTGAAAGCTGTCTTTGTGACATGGACATGAGAAAAGGGACAAAGCACTAGAACCAGGCAGCGTATAAACTGGGAGTGGAAGAGACCAACAAGCCTGGCTTCACTGTGAGAAAGTGCGGCCGATCCGACAGGAGGGCGCGGATGCCAGGCTCCTGTATTCTGGCCAAAGGACTGCTTGAGGACACATGGTTGGAAAGAGTAGAGACCGTTTATTAGGAAAGGAAATACACTCCTGGGTGGAGGAGCTAGTGAGCTGACAGGACATCCAAGGCCCTGGACAAATGACCCCTTTCAGGACACTTACTAACACCCGTCTGTACAATGGCCCCTTCTCAAGCGTGCTCAGTTCCTTACTTGAAGCCCAGATGAGAAAGGGCTTCCAGTCTTTGCCAACTGGCTTCCTTTATATGTTAGTTAATCCTGATGTGCTTTTCTTTCTCTGGTGATTATTTTCCACACACAAAGATGTAAGTCACCAGAAAGAAACGAAAAGCGCTGAGGCCTGAGGTAAGACGGGGCATACACAGAGAGGATGGTGGTGTAGCCCAAGAAAGCAGTTTAGATGGGGGACATCAGAGGTAGCAGCTATATCATATAGTTCTTCACATCTAGGTTGGGAATTTTATTTTAAGTGAGACTCCAATCCAAGGAGTAAATGGGTCTGATTTCTGTTCTCAAGGGATCTCCCTGACTGCTTTGCACAGAATGAGCTGTTCAACGGTAAGCACACAGGTCAGAGGTCACTTCATAATGCAGGCATTGGCTTGGACACTGGTAACAGGAGTGGGGAGGGCTGACCACTCTGCCACAGCCTTCACTGGAGAGCTGCAGATGGGAAACCAAGTCATGGATAAACTTGAGGTTTGGCTTTTAAGTGGCTAACCACTGCTGCCATTCATTAGGAGGAGGAAGAAGGCAAAAGGGACAAGTTTGGCATCAAGTGGGTGTGCATGTTTTGGGGAGAGGTGTGTTGCTTTGTTTTGTTAGGGTGAATTTCAAATGGTCCAAGACCACTTTCAAGCCTAGACCAGGAATGAACAAATGGAATCTGAGGAGCAGGTATGGCCAGAGATATAAATTTAGGAAGAAATATAGAAAGCCCATCGAGAGGAAAGGAGACGCAACCATGTTTGAGACAGACATGACTACAAATGAATGCCGACTTGTTAGAGAGTTTCCACAGAAAAGGCTGAGATGGCAAATTTCTCTGTCAGATTTACAGAAGGGAAGAGAGAGTCGGAAAAGGTACTCAGTCCTCCAGGCACCTTTGTTGCTCCAAATAGCTCTTACATGAACGCTAAGCAACGTGGCATTATCTGGCTTTTTTCTCCTTCTTTCAAAGTCTGATAAAACCACAGCTTCAAATCTGAAAGTAAACTGGTGTGCAGACACATTTTAAACAAATTCTGGTTAAATTGCTTTACAGGCATCTGGTTTGTATTAAGTTGCAAGAGTGTAATGCCTGCTAGAGTGCAGGCCCATATATAACATGGATGATAAAAATACAAGGCTAAAGATTCTGTGGTTGGTCCTTGAGATTTTAAACATTCTCAAATAGCTGTGAATTTGAGGGATATGATTACAGATTTTACATTTTAAAATGTATTTTACAGTATATTCAGAACAGCAAGGAAAGCAATCCACCAACAAAGTCAGACCAAGAAAATCAAATTTGCTAACATTCAAATGAAATATTTTTTTCTGAATTTTGAACCAAACTAAAAATTTTTTTCTAAAGTATTTTGTTCTGCTGGATTCTGTAAGGATGAAGATCTAACAAAGAAACACCAGGTCGGTGTCTTTCTCTGGGATACATTTCCTTACCTCTGGACTCAGGTGACAATTCTCATGCCGTTAGCAGTATTTACCTCACTGGACCACTGCCCACTGGTACCCTGCCCTACACTGTCCACTGGTACCCTGCCCTACACTGCCCACTGGTACCTCGCTCTAAGGGGCCTAGGTTGTTTAAAACAGTGGTTTTTTCCAGATGATGTTTTTGCCCTGAGAGATTCCATTTTACAAGCAGCCTTTGAATCCATCTTGGGGATGGAGAAAAACTCTGGATCTGGGTGGATACATGAATTTCATTGCCAACATGGCGTGTGCACTTATTCCTGAGAATACAAGGAGTATTACCCTATACATTTATTGAGGTAATTTGGAAATACAGGAGTACATTAGAGATATTAAACCCATACACCTTTAATCCAGAGGCAGAGGCAGGTGGATCTCTGTGAGATGGAAAGTCAGCCTGGTCTATAAAGCAAGTTCCAGGACAGCCAGGACTATTTATTTGAAACCTTGTTCAAAACAAACAAATAAGCAAATAAAGCATTCCACAACAACCAGGCCCAAGAACTTAGCAGGCACACCAGACCAAGGAACGGGCACAACTCCCTCACTTGTACCACATCAAGAGTTGGACACCTGGCACTGGGATAGTGACAGCCCCAACAATCTATAATCTAACTATCCAGTGTATCCATAACCTGACCATCCAGTGTATGCCTCAAGGGATTGACAGGCAAAGAACTTCTGACTGTCCTAGAGGCCTTATTTCTTACTACTGTCATGGTCTACTCAAATTACCATCTACCTGGTCACCATCTGGAACTGCTGTCCACCCATCTTCTTGGACCAAAATCATCCACCATTCACTTTACCAGCCCCCTGAAGCTCAACTCGGACATGGCAACCTTACTCTCCAGCCAGCAGCCAGCATCCTGAGATTCTTCTGGACCTTGGTTACCTTGCCCCCACTAAGTCCACTTTACAATTCTATCAGATTATCAGCTCTGCCTCCTCAGACCTCTTACATCATTGTAAACCTACATACATAGTTATTTATATACAATAGATATCATATATGTATTTACTATTTGTTATGGAATGTGTTATCTGAAAGTTAATATTAGCAATTGAGGGTATCAAGGAAAGCAAATTATTTGGCAAACTGATGTTGATGATATTTCTATGGCTTGTGAATTTGTTATCTAATAAATTCTGATATTGATTCCAACACAGGGACTTCACAACACACATTTACTTATGTAGAAGCAGGCAGGAGGGGGCGGGGGGAGTGGCGGTACTCCATTTCTTGTATCTACATGCTTAGCACAATGCCTGGTGTGCGGAGGCCACACTAGACATATTCAGACAAATGGACTGCATCATGGATGTGGTCCTCAGCATTCCCAGGGGATCACTATCTAGAACAGGGTCAGGGAAAAGGCCAGAAACAAAACATTGCTCTTTGGATCGGGAGTTAGAGGGAAGGCGGCTGGTGGAGGATAAGGTAGCTTCTAGTCCCAGGGATAAGGATACAACCTTATTCATTAGGTGAGAATAAGGACTTGTTTGATGCTCTGCTTAACAGCAAGGGGAAAACCCAGAGCCAGGGGTAGAGTGCTGGCCAGGGTATGGCCCGGTGGCACAGTGCTCACCTATTGTGTGTGAGTTCCTGACTACCATCCCCAATACTACACGGGAGACAGATAATGTTCTGGGCACATCTGCTGAATGTGAGGATGGCAGGCTCCTTTCCTCACCGCAAGCTTCTCTTGAAAGTCTCCTTTCACACTGTTCCTGCCTCTTGTTCCTATTTTTCCTCAGTTATCATCGAGGAAACTGTCACCCTCAAGGCTGCAACACACAATAGAAGTAGGGTGTTCTTAATGTT